TCATCCATCCATCATCCATCATTCCTTCCTTCCTTCATCCTTCCTTCATCCTTCATCCATCATCCATCCATCCATCCATCCATCCATCCATCCATCCATCCATCCATCCATCCATCCATCCATCCATTCCCTGCAGGAAAGCTGGGGCTCTTTCCCAGTGCAGAATTTGGATCCCCCTCACCCTCCCTTCTCCCTGGGATGATGTCTCATGCACAGCTCTTCCCTGCAGGAGCAGGTGAAGCTCAGCTCCTCCTTGTTCTCTCCACACCACCTGGAGTTTGTGAACACACCTGTCCCTGCCTTGGGAATGCTGCAGGACACCTGCCAGGATGGATGCAGATTTTGGGGCTGCCTGCCAGACTGTTGCCTCAGTTGCTGATCCTATTTTCTCTCCCTACAGGCAGCTCCAGGAATGAAGTGGGCACAGCTTCATTCCTCATATTCATTCCTCAGAGCTCCTGCAGCAGCTCTGTGTGCCTTGGGCTACACAAGAACTCCCCTCCCATAATCACCTCACTGTCACCTCATCCCTCCAGCTGTGGCAGTCCCAAAATCCCTCTTCAGCATCCAGTGAGTTCCAAGCTTGTGCTTCCACTTTCCTAATTCTGGATCCACCCTGAAGCACCCAGGAGAGCCCAACACATTGTCCTGAAAGGTGCAGGAATTCCACACTCCTGGATTCCCTGAGCTTCAAGATTTGGACTCCCCTACAGGTGTTGCCACCCTGCTTTCAGCAGCTCAGCAGAGCTGAGAAGACATCCAAGGAGCAGGGAGAAGTGTCCCAGAGATGCCAGTCACTCACAGTCACACGTTTTTAGGAGACTCCTCTCGTCCCCAATCTCTACAAGCACCAGCCCAGTGGAAAATGTCTGGATTTCCTGCCACCAGCATTTCCCTGGAGCTGCTGAGGACCTGACAAGCTGTTGTTCCTTCTTAGCAGAGGTGCTGAGGGACAGTCACCATGCCAGGAAAAAAATGGAGACTCTGTTTCTTGAAATGTAGGGAAAAAACAACACACAGAATAGAGGGAAGGAGAGAAGGACAAGTGCTTTTTTTTACCCATGAAATCTGGGAATATCCCCAGCAGTGAGCAGAGCCCTCACCATGGACCTCATCCCTGGAGTCCACTCCCCACTCCCACTGGAGATTAGTCAAATAAACCACAGTGGAGATGACAAAAATACATTTTTTGATGGATCTGGTCTGGGAACTGCGTTTCTTTCTGGGTTTGGTTTTCATTTCTGTTTTTAAGAAGAGAAAACACCAAGGTGGCAGCTGCATGGCAGCTTGTGTGGTGACACCAAAATGGGAATAACCTTGCTCTTCTCAGCTTCTCACCATGCTGATTTTCCTGGTCCTGAGGGTGGCACAGCATGGGTTTATCCACCTTAAGTGCAGGAGTGAGGCAGGAATTTGGCTTCCTGCATCCCAGAAAATCCTCTCCCAAGCTGTGGCCACCCCGTGTTTCCAGAGCTGA